GTCCAGATCACAATGGCGAAGTCCCAGTTTTCACTGGATGTCCACATAACGTGTTCTTTTAAGTTTGCAAACCAAACACCATTTAACTAGTCTATTTGCCTTGTCTGAAAGTCTGGGCTCACAATATTTTCATTGACTTAATTTATTACAGGGTGCAATAAAATCGTAGAAATAATCTTCAGATTTCAGTGACTCGCTGGAAAACTAGAAAAACAGCCCAACAGTAAGGCTGATGTCCCCGTCGAAATCACAAAATAAATAGATGACACATAATGATTAATTGTACATTACATTATCTTTTTCAAAAGTATTGGGCAACTAAACTGATTATCTATACTTAGCCTAAGCGTAAAATGTTCACGATCAAACTCGGTCAAGGTTTTGAAGTACCTGGTAGTGATACTATACACTAAGTTTCGCCACTCTCCATTAGTTAGAATCAAAGTTATCTCGTCCGAAAGCGTTGACCAATGAAACTGCTTAGCTCTGCTTAACTGTAATATTTGTAGCCGTGATAATTCTTATTCACGCCTACAATTGATACACTATTCGAGGCTTTGATTAAGTAAAATTAGATTCAATTGCAAATTTTTTAACACATATCATCACAGTTTGCATGGAAATAAGTAATTATGTTACAAATAATCAAGAGTGGAACACTGAAATCTTAATCTTATCTTACCGAACAGTTTTTCTGTGTTTTCGATTGACATATTATCACGTGATTCTGGTTCGGCGACCATTTTAAAATGAACAGAAATTTCGCATGGCCGTTGGGTTTAATCAAATCATATAATTATGCGACAAGGTTTCACCTTTATTTCAATGGGAATTGGTTTATTATATGTTAATCTATAATACGGTACAGTTTGGGATCAGCGTCATTGGAAATTAAGGGAGTTATAGGCCAGTAACTTTTTTGTAGTCAAATGACTACAAAACTTGCTCAAAGGAAGGCCTTAGGACGGTCCACTACTGTGGCTGGAGCAAGACGGAAGACATCAGTAGTGGAACCATTTCTAAGTTCTGCTTAGTTTTAGTGGGAAATGTTAATCATTGAACTCAGTCACCTAATGAACATCTACATCAAGTTTAAACATTCTATCTCAATTAAAAAAAAGCTGAGTTATGTTCCAAAGTCTAGACCAATCAAATTGCTTATCGCTACTTAGCCTAAGCAGAAAATGCACATTATCGAACTTTGTCAAGGTGTTGATGTAATGACTAATGAAACTTTACACCAAGCTTCATCACTCTCACTTAATTAGATCTAAAATTATCGTGTCCGACAGCGTCAACCCATAAAATTACTTATCTCTGCTTACCCTACGCAAATAATGCTCATCTTCGAACTCCACCAAGGCATTCACCTAATGAACGCCTACACCAAGTTTGACCATCCTACCTCACTCAATTAGAAGGAGAGTTATTGTGTTCCAAAGTCTCGAGAACTCAAACTGCTTATCGCTCTGCTTACCCTGAGCAGAAAAATGTTCATTATCGAACTTAGTGAAGGTATTGATGTAATGAAACTAAACATCAATTTTCATCACTCTCTCTTAATTAGAACGAAAGTTATCTTATCCCAAAGCATCAACCAATCAAATAGCTTATCTCTGCTTACCCTAAGCCGAAAATTCTCATCTTCAAACTCCATCAAGCCATTCACCTAATAAACACCTGCACCAAGTTTGAACATTCTAGCTCAAATAGAAGGAGTTATAGTGTCCCAAAAAGGGTGACGGGCAGACAGACCCATTTTAATAGTCCCCTGGAGTTGGAGGTTATCACTGTACACCCATGTGGGTTAATGGCACTCTAACACCACCTGACAAGCGGAAATTGATGATTTGGACAAGAGGTTGTACAAGCCTTCTACACAGAATTAACCAGTTTTAGCCCATAAAGTACATGTACACCTAAGAATTACTCCCGTAAAAGATGTTTATTCGAGCGAGAGTCCCTTATGTCTGTCCCTTATGTCTGAACTAACTCAGTTACATTCGATTTGGATCCAACCATATTGTGTAGTCCATATCTAAAATATAGAAAAGGCCGGGACATATTTTCGATGTTCGTTAACAACGCACCCCCACCCCCACCCAAAAAACAACAACATTTCAAACATGTTTCTTTTAACAGATAATAAATTATTTAAACAGATTGCCAAACATCATTCTGTAGACAGGAACAAAGTTGTGTGAAACGAATCGTTTGGGGGTTAGTGTAAAAAGAAGCGAGGCAATGTGTTATATTTTGACGGGACATCGGCCTCTAGAAGTTGTCGATGAACTATTGGCACGTGGTTTCTTAACATTCCTGACCTTTTCATAATTATATAAAAAATAATTAAAATGAAGGGGAAAAAAATCCATGAAGTTGCTTTCAGCAAGGTATCGTCAACGCATATAAACTTTATTTTATTGCATACTAGTAAACGGATGTACGTATTTACAATAAATTTCATGATTGATTTCCCCGGTCTTCATTAAGCCAGTTGGTGCAGAAAAGTAGGATGTTTACCTGTAATTTGGATGATTTCGTAAGGTATCAATGATTTGGTTTTTTTTTTTTATAAAAACGTGGATATTTTGTTCATTTGAACCCTATTATATATTTCAAAACTTAGTGAGATTTTTCATTAATATATACTGGGTGTTCCTTGGAGAAAAGACAGTATATTAAATGAGCTAAATCCCTATTATTTTGGCATCTAGAATGGACTCAAATGGGTCGCAACGCATCAAATAATGTAATTGGAATGTATATAAACTGATTTATATTCAATTGTTTCTGTTTTTACTATAATTTCTAATTAGTTATGATCCGCGAAATACACCATTAGACTCAATCGGTTGGCAATTTATAGCGTCTGGTTATTCCAGTCTACACTGACAGCATTTATTGCGCATGCTCTCCAGATAAGAATATGACGTCACCGTTTGACATGACTTGTGGAATATGTCCCTTGTTACAAATGGCGCTGAGGCGCATTATGGTACACGATCCGTGTACCAACCGTAAAATGTTTATTTTGTCTTAAATATTGGATATCAGAAGCCCATTTTGTCCCGGTAAGATCACAACATAAATGTTGATTTAAATTCACAAATAATTTGTTTTCAACGTGGAAGACTTTGGATGAGACTTAGTTACATGTACTTTAACTTGACAAGGTATATATAACATAAATCTGATCATTGTCGTGAACACGGGGGATCACGTGGCTAAGTGGGTAAGACGCTAGCTCGCTAGCCTGGAGGTCGGGTGTTCGATCCCTGCATTGGCCGAGAAAGTTCATCCAGATTTTCCGGCATGGTTCTCCCTTGTCAGTGATGCAGGACGGAGGGGCTGACAAGGAAAGCTGTCTAGTCGTTCGGATGGGACGAAAAACCGAGGTCCCGTGTACACATTGGCGTGCACGTAAAAGATCCCTTGGCAGTTGGAATTCGATATAAGAGTAGGCCGTAGTGCCGCTGTCCGGGCAAAATTTCCCTCATAGCACACTGTATGGCGCATGCCCGTCTTCATTAGCCCAGGTTAGGAGCAGAACAGTAGGACGTTAAACTCCATTTCATTTCATTTTTTGTCGTGAACACGTTTGGCAGAAATTTGGTTAATTATGACTGGAAAACTGTAGGGATCCACAGGTGACTGTGACATATCCTAGATCTTCGAAATTACCAGGTTCGTAACAAGGTTCAATTGTATTATTAATATTTTCCTCTGGTTTCAAAAAATCAACCCAACAGTATGACTAATATAAAATGGCAATATAAAACATACAGCACGGGTAACAGCTGTAGCTTTTATATTCTACACTGACAAAAAAAACAAAAAACATGCTAAATTTAACTGATCAATGAATTACTTGTAGTTTGAATTAGAAATTGAATAATTTCCCCCTAACGCCTACATTTTCATTATACAAATAATATTTCTAATAAACCTGAATCCATTCAAACTTTACATAAAGCTTTCATCCAATCGAACATGTATTTATTATGTTTTTTGTTAATTTTGTTTGCCAAGTTTAAAAACTTAAACCCCATTATATCCAAACGAGACTGTAAATATGAATATGATTTATGTGTAGCCTAGTTTTAACCCTGGGTTGATAGATTCCATAATAAACACTGTGACTTGTTTTTTTTTCCTGACAGACTAACGAGTTTTATATTGCAAACCAATTTACAAAACAAGTTATAACTTTAAAAAGTTAGAATAAGTTTTTAAATTAAAATACGAGCAGGCTGCTACGAGGATGTAATCCCCATCCCTCAATTTCCAGGTGCATAAGTAATTAATGAATGTGTTTCCATCAAATTAAGATTGGAAAACTGCCTGACCAGATTCCTCAAATCGAAATCCCACCACCAATAATATTGTTAAAGAGACATCACCAAGAAAATATATACATGTATAATACTGATCTATATCATATGTACAATAATGATAAACTCACCCAACTATCAAACATCCAACTACATGTACTTAAAGATGCCTTATGTAAAATTTAGATAAAGAGCTGGAGGTTCTTGCTATAATAGTTCAAAAATAGATATTGAAAATTTCATTCAAATTACTTCATTCTGAGCGAAGTTAAGGTGTTGGAAGATGTAGCCTAGATTGATTATTATTATTATAGCAACAGTAAAGGACAAACAAACTAAGTTTTGATTATCAGTTTTATCGTTAAATTTTTAAATCTCATGCGTGTTCAATTCCATTTAAATGTCTGTCATCCAAGGATCTATAGAGTTTATTATAGGCTTGTCATTTGAAATAATGTCTAAATAATAATTTATATAAGATTTGAAATCAGAAAAAAGGACCCTCAATAGGCAGATTTAGCTCTTACATAACGCATCTTTAAATGTAATGTATTTTAGTGCTCATCTTACAACTCCTTACAAACCACTATATCTAATTTGGAATTTTTTTAATACCATCAGCAAGGTAACATAATATATCACAATGACGAAATAATAAACGACATATTATTATTATTATACTTTATTTTCACCATGATAAACATACATTCATACAGTTTGTAAGTCTAACTCCTTTATTTGTTCAGTTATTCTATTTATAGTAACAGAAAGCATAAAGGTAGCACTATACTATACCTTATCTGAACATCATACATAAAGAATCGTATAATTGATTTAGACTACACTTTTCTTTCTTTTTTCACTTTTATTTCTTGTATATTTACACTACAGTGAGGTCTAACAATATTTTTTTTTTTAAAAAAAAATTGTTTTCAATTGAATTGAACCCTCATTCCACCAATGAAAAGATACTTTTGCTTTGGCAATAATTGTTTAAGCCAATCACACTGGCTCAAACCAGACTTCGATGAGTACAGGTATCAAAGAATAGAGCAAGAATTGAACCAAGTCAGAATGAAATAAACATCTAATTTTAATTAGATTGCTTTAAAGCAAGGACAGGAAAGTTGTTATTTACCAACTTCGCACTGTATTGTTTTTACACCACCAAGTTAATAAAAACTTATCTCTTGTACTGACTTTAGAAGTACCTTTCTCTCATTCACAATCACTTTATCAGTACTTACTAGTAGGCTATAAAAGAAACCCTATTGCATTGTGCATATATCAATAAACAAGTTTATAAAGAAAATGAGCATGCATGAAAACATTTCATTGGGTTATAATTATTACATAAATTACATGTATGATGAGAAATGGCAGTTTAATGAAATATGGAGATCAATGGATATGGAGTTCAATGTGTTTGAGTTAAGAAGAAAAACACACCGTTTTGAGGTACCAGACCTAGACAAAAGAGTTGAGATGAAATAATATCCCTGTTCTACAAACCCTAATTTGGATTTCATGAATGAATCATTCCCAATATGTCAATACCCCGCTCGCCCCCAACCAACCTGTTACTTTAAAAGGCCCAAACAAAACCACTATATTTGTACATGTAGGTTTATGTATCATTGTTATAATTGGACAATATACTAAAAATGTAGTTTTTCCATTAGTTTATAATTTACATCTGTCCAATTCTATATTAAATCAAATAAAATAAAAAATTTTTTTCTAAACCCAATTCAATATTTTCTGGCATTTCATTATTAAAACCAGTTCATTCATGCATTGATCCTGAATAACACAATTGCATAAAACTAGGACAATTTTATCAATTACATATCATGCAATATTCAGTAAATAACATTAATAAAATCAAGTTTGTTATTCTGTTACTTGTGGAAACGATATGCCCTAAAAAAAAAATCCAGAACATAATGTCACAGTATATAATGCCCACAGGGAAATCAGTTTTTACTAACCCTAACCCAATGAAAAATTTGACATTTTGTTTGTGGGCATTATGTAGCGTGACATTATGTCTGGAATATGCCCAAAACACTAAAACAAATACACAAACTACAAAGTTTTATCTATGAATTAGATGTAAGTAAATGCTACAGATGGAATTGGAGTTAGCATTTTTAGCAAGAGGTAGGAGTAGGACTTTTGAGTAGAGGGGGTTTGCATTAGACTTTATAATTGGGTGTCAATTATGATTCACCCTTCACTTCGAAAAGCAAACGGTGAATCAAGAAAATATGTACCAAACTACATAAAACACCAGTTTCTATAATCATCTAAAGTTTTATGCATAAATTACCACTGTCACAAACAGTCCACAATTCATTACAAGTGTACATGTATTGGTTCATATGAACATACAACCAGCAGATAAACTGTGAAAAGTAACACGCCACCTATTAATTTATAACTGAACCTAAACAGTTTTGCCAGGCAACAAAAATACGCCCACCAGCAGCTAGGATGTTACAGGATGATACTCGGTCAAGGAAGCAATACATATATCTGCATCTAAAAAAACCTTTGAGGCGGAATATCAATACTTTCCCTTTTGATGACTAGGCAAACAAATCAAGCAAGCTTGAAAATCTCAGCACAAATTGATGGGTGACTGAATTTCAGTATTTTTATTCTGATGGCCATCCAAACAAACTCTGCAAGTTTTAAAAAAAAAAGTCTGACCCATATGGCTTTGTGATTGAAGCAATAGTGTTCCTTCTTTACGATGGCTGAAAACAAACCCTGCAAGTTACAGAAAAATATCTAGAAAAAAAATCTGACCTGAACAAATGGACGGATAGACTGAAGTCTCTGAAGTACATAGGTGACAACAATAAACCATCATATAAAATGCTGGAATATAAAAACCATTTTAACAATGGACAGCTCTTATACCCTGGCGCTGACAAATTTTGTAGAATGATAATATAACATTGGTTTTATCTGGTGGTCTAAGTGCTTACCGGTAATTTCATTTTTTTTTTAAAAATCATACAAATTAAAATTATTTGATCATTTTTAAAGAAACTGAATAATCAATTACTTGACCGTGTAGACATACTATAAAAACTATTTCTTAATACATTTCATATGAAATCCAAATAAAAAAAAATCAATTACATGTACCTACATAAAGAGAGTAAAAATTTGAATAAAAATCTTAAGTTGATTCCATAGAGTTCAAAATCGATTCATAAATTGATTACTATTTTAAGATGCGTTCAGAGGAATAAGACAAAATTTTATGCCAAGTTTGATGATTTAAAACAAGTGGTGTGATCCACAAGCATATATTATATATATGTATAAAGCATGAAACCTATAACATAAAAAAAAAATATTGAAACTTAATAAAATTGTCATTCCACCATGCAATAAATTTACACATCAACAATATCATACATGCAATGTCAGATAACCACAATCCCTCATAATGTAACAAAACTACCTCAGTTGCATACACATTTAAAGTCTTGCCAAAATTACCAAGATGGCGCCATTTAATGCTTATTACAATAAAAGTATACACATCACTTGAAAATTGACACACATATAGGATTTAAAAGTTCACAAATTTCCACAGTATCTCTCTCACATAATACTTTGTACATGTGTTCAAGATTTTTGGCTTTTCTCGGAATCTTCGGTTCTTGTATCTCCGTATATTAAGGAACATGACACCATATTTTTACACATTTTATACATGTAGATATATGTATTTTCAACAATATAATGATACTGCCATATTTATAGAAATGTATATCATTATGTCTATGACATGCTTTGTCTTTGTCACATGATAAAAACGACACTTAATCAGTTGTTGACACTAGTGTCAGAGGTGACGTCATCATGATCATTGTCATTGCCCGCAGACGAATTAGTGTCACTTGTATCAGAGCTGGGATCATTACCCTGTTCTGGGGATGTATTCGTCTTAGGTTTATAGTCTGTTATTAAAACTGTCACATCATTTACTGTAACCTCCATTTTCTCACCGCTACTTCGATCTATGTTTTTTAATCTCGAACGTCTGAAAGTAAAAATAAATATCTTTCAAGTTACCGGTCCCATAAAAGAACTTTTGGTTTTATTTTAAATTACTAACTACATGTATATTGATTGTGTAAGATTTCTTTATATAAAACGATACGGTTTAACTAGACATTTGCTAAGATTCATTGCATCAATTAAGATGTTTCCACTGAAATATCACTGAAAACAAATAATCTTGATAAAGAAGACACACCATAAATCATATGAGCCCCTAAAGAGTCACAATTTTAAGCCCCCTTTCCACCAACTGCAATAACTTCAAGCTACAGTTCTCGTTCATCAAACATGGCAACTATGACCAGCATATTCCTGAAGCTATGGCTCGAGAAATCCCTCTCTGGCCATTGCTGGATTAGCTTCTGATACTGGAGCTTTTGAGGGAATGTGTCTATTCTTCCCGTTCAATCAAATCTATCCCAAGTACAGCAACATGACAGCAGCCCTTCGTTTAATCTGGGGTCTTCCCTAAAAGTTTGGACAGTGATTTAAGCTATTAAAAACGGTGAAAGTATTGTTCGTCTCCAAACATTATTGTTTACATTTGATCCGTTTTGATACCCTCGTTTGTCATTCAATAAGTTTTTCTGCAATATTGTGCTATGAACTGGTTAATTGGGCGTAATAAAATTGCGAGTCATGACATAACTTTACATGTATGTACACATATTTGGTCCAATTTGGAGCTCTGTTTAAAGCGTAATGATATTGTTATGCAGTTAGCTATTGGTTGTTAATCGGACTATTGACCAGTCATAATTTGGAACAGAATTTTGCTCCATTACAGCAGTGTTAAGTGGGATTAACTCTAATCAAACGAAACACTGCAAGGAGTATGAATGACCAGTCAGTCTTAGATAGTAATTAATGTGTCATGTCAATCAGGATTCATACAGTGCAGATTGAGACAAGATCTTCGAAACCTGTCTTCGACATGCCATACGCCAACCCCAAATCAAAGATGGAACCTGTGATCCCAACTAAACTACCAGAAATACATATAGGGTAATAGATTTATATTCAGAAGCACATCTGTGGAGATGTGAAAATGGCAATAATCATTCTCAGTTACCTTTACATGGAAAAAAGCAGCAGCTCAAAAAGACAACCCAAAATCATCAAATAGAAGACACCAGATATTCTTTGATGCCAGAAGTTAAAAGAAAGATGTTCCTTACTAAATAAAGATCATATTTCAACTCAGATAAATTCTCTGACTGTAGGTCCTATTGAACAAGGGGTGTGAGTGAGAGTCCCAAACTGACAGCAGGAATCTTTCTGATAAAAATATTCAAGTACAAACATTAATGTCTACAGCCACAACTCAAACCGTTGATAATGGGTATGTTCAAACGAAATAAGGACAGAAACAACACCACAACATGATATGCTAATAGATCAAATTTCACAAAAAAAGAAGAAATTTGTATGGTGAATTTGAGTATTTATTGGGTGGATAAATAACAGCAAATACATGTAAGTATATCAGAAATTGTTATCGGACATCGGCTCCTTCGTCTCAAGGCATTAAACACTGTGTATAAATTTAAAGTCAATCAGATAATAAATTTGGTCTGTAGGGTATCCACAAGATATTTCAAAGTGATCAAGGGCCATATATCTAAAATGTATCAAGAGCCTCCACATGACATGGAATTAAGTAATTTTACACACTAACCAAAACTGATCCTTTGAATGCAAGACAATTGGTTACTAAGTATGAACCAACTTGTAACTAGGATGTTAGTTTTCTATTTACTTCCATAGTATGCGGAAGTCAGTTTGCTAATCAATTTCAGTTACGTTTATGACGGACAAGGTTGAACACAAAATCAGTTATATCTTAACTACTGTTACTTCTGGACACCCATGATATCTTAAAATATCTTAAAAACGTGACAAAAATCTCACCTAATAAGATATCATCAATTTGATTACATTGATAACATTCTTCAGATACATACATGTCACGAACACGTAAAATCAAACACAAGTAACTAAAAACTACAAGATAAATTAAGCAAATAGCTTACTCACGCAATTCCAAATCAAAACATGTGACTAATGACAAAATTATCAGTATCTATATAAATATAGCTGATTTACATCTTTATCTGATAATAAAGGCCTTGGTGACAATAATGACAGTTACAAGAGCATATGGTTATATTTACAAACAAACTTGACAGATAAAACCACCCACCTACCTACATGTATAAGTCTAACTACCAATCAATGTACTTTACAGCACATAGGATCTACCTTATTTTACTTTTAGGATATCGGGTATTGACATAATTGCTAACTATAGATCTATAAATATTTGTTAATATTAATCAGTCATTACCGGGGCCACCAGCACAGGCATGTCACTAGACAAATACTGTTTCATGTTAAATCACAAAATATATTGGGTCTCAGATCTTGATATTCATTTCACCATAGTTCAAAATGATTTTTGACAAGTGGTTACAGGTATCTTGGGTTCCAGACTAACTAGTCAATTGTCTGAGTGAATCTAAATTGTTCAGATAGTCTGTTATATAAACTGATTCTAACACTGAAACAGTCGTTATATAAACAAATTCTAACATGTATCATCTTAAAGATATATTCTCGGGTACAAACTGGGTGATTTGATAACATATTCAAACGAATTAATTTATCATAATTTTGCTTCAAAAATGCATCTCAAAACATTGCAGTTGTCGGGGAATACCCTGGCTATAAAAAATTCTTCAAAAGAGGTCATGTTTGTGTCACATGACTTACCTCTCTCAGTACCTAGCAATGCAAGCAAAGTCGGAGGAGAATCCATTGCATACACAAGACGATGTTGTCTTTAATCGCTGACTATTTATTACAAATATTGAAGCCTAATTAAATTTTCGGGTTATCCAATGCCCGCGTCTTTTTCCATGATTTTTATCTCAGAAAGTGTTGTACGTCTAATTCTTCATAAATTTTATCAAAATGTACATCGACGTCACGCGTGCGCTCCATGAGTTTTTTCAGGGAATCCAGTATTTTTCTAGCAAGATTGGATATTTCTACTTTCCATATATACCAAAATTGCCATACTTTTATTGGAAATAACCACCCGATAAATACTTTTCTGGGAACGTGAAATGAAATGAAATGAAATGGGGTTTAACGTCCTACTATTCTGCTCCTAACCTGGGCTAATGAAGACGGGCATACGCCATACAGTGTGCTATGAGGGAAATTTTGCCCGGACAGCGGCACTACGGCCTACTCTTATATCGAATTCCAACTGCCAAGGGATCTTTTACGTGCACGCCAATGTGTACACGGGACCTCGGTTTTTCGTCCCATCCGAACGACTAGACAGCTTTCCTTGTCAGCCCCTCCGTCCTGCATCACTGACAAGGGAGAACCGTAGCTTTAAACAGTCTATTATATAAACAGATTCTAAGATTTTAAAGAATGTAAATACTAATAATAATTTGGTACTAAAAGATCATTTACATTTAAAATAAAGTCTTTTAAGCATGCATGTACCTTTTAATACTATATTCCATGGACTGGATTAAATTGAAATTTCATTTCCAATCGCTTGAGCAATTTCAAAATCTTATGTAATCAATTTTTTTATATCGAAGCTGACACATATTATTAATAATATTAATGTCGCCAAATATTATTTATGTAACTGAATAGTGTGAATATCTTTCAATCAACAAAAGAGATATTTAATTTCTTTGATAGCAAATTTAAGCCGTACCATGCAAAGATTTCTCCTGTCAAAAAAGGTATGATTTGTCACAAAGAGATCAAAAGTGAACAGCTATGTATTGGAAATTATTATGTCTGGGGCAATTCAAACACCTCACTAGCTTGGTCAACAGATTATTGGGTGGTCTTCACAAGTCTCAATCCATGTCTTCCCGCCTTCTTAATAAAGTTCTTATGTACAAAAATATTTTGCTAAACACTTCCCAAAAGGCAGAGCAAAGTTTAAGTTGAAATAAATAAGAAATAGGATTATTGGTTGGGTGGGGTCATTTAGACTTTTATACATAGCTTTAAACAAGTTAATAAAGCCCAGATGAAATGAAAATTCTTTCAAGAGATCTTTTAATATTCTACTTACAAATGTTCCTCTCTTTATTATTAGAGTCAACATTTCTAATAATAGACATAAAAACATTAGTAGTCTAACTAGACCTAATAGAAATTAGGCTAGAGAAGGTTACTATGTGTATGAAAAGAGAGGATATTGAAATACGAATTCAAAGAAACAGAAGCAAAACCATACATTAATAATTTTATGTTTTCATATATCAATGCAATCCAAATCAACACATCACACACAGTGTGCGTCTCTTTACCGCCCTCCTCGCATTCACTCCATGTTACGACTGTCTGCAAATGTTAATAAATGAAATGGGGTTAAACATCCTAATTTTCTGCACCAACCAGGCTCATGAAGACTGGCATACATCATGCAATGTGCCAGAGGAAAATTTTACACAAAATGTATTCTATATGCATGCCACTGAGTACACGACTGGGTGTTGAATATTCGTCCCACCACCAGACTTGGAAATCCAGAGAAACCTTTTTAGAAAAAAACAGAATTGAACCTGAGACGTCCTGGTACCTGTGAGCCAGCGCCATACCCACTCAGCAACTGTGACTCCACAACTGCATCCAGTTGAATATGATAATCCAAATCTTTATATTAAAGATGGTAAAATGAATTGACCATATAATAGGTTATAATAATTAACGAACTTAAAATTATTTATAGAATGTTACATTTGAACATAATGACATCAATAAAAGCTGTCTAGGTAATCCATGGATTAGCCTGAATATTGCAGACAGGTTTCTTCAAATCAGCAAAAAAAATCCCTTTCACAAAAAACACCAGAAACAAAATCCTGTCTATCAGTAATATTGGGAGTTATAATTTTAATACATCTGATAGAAATACCCAATTATCTTAATAGATATTTTAACAAAAACACAACATCGGAAAAAATTCATAAAAAATCATTAAAAAAAAAATCATGTCAAAGGCATTCCAAAATAGTGACGATTGAGCTACAGATGTCTGAAAATAATTAATAAGCTTAAAAAATCTTTTTTATCATTACTGAATTAAATCGGCAAATCAATGTATTAAAGACATCCGTTTTTCAATTTGTTGTAAAAGAGGGAATAGTCAAGATAAAAATGAAAAGAGGAATTATCAAAAAATATATCTATTCATGAATACCATATATTATAAAGACACTGAATACAATGAGCACAAAACCCAACAAGCAAGCGTAACATGAGCTTAATGAAGTGGAAAGGCCCATAACTCTAAATACTTAGACTTGTCTGGATCTTTGTAGTTTTTTTATGAAGCATGAAGTCAGGCTATGCGCTTCATAACTTTATGAAGTCAATACATTTCATCAAAATAAGGCGACGTTTTTCTGTTATATTAAATGATATAAAGATATCAAATCAAAGGTAGTTATTTATCTATTTTATTGAAAAATAAAATGAATAAGTGAATATCATTTTTAGAATTTTCTTGTCAGGATAAAAAGCATCTTTAAATAGTATTAAAATATTTAATCATTTTGATGACTGTTAACAAAGGTGAGCAATGTAGACTAGATACATTTATGTCTCAATTCTGAATAAAACAGGTAAAGATAAACACATTTTTTATTATTTATGATGATTCTTGTCATCTCATTTTACTGATGCCCATATATCTATTACATCAGAGAAACCAAACTAAAAAGATAAATAGCTCTACTTAATACTTAAAATACCACCATATCAGTCTCTGAAGGTTACAATTTTCGTCACTGTTTTTTTGTCTATAATCAGTATACATGTACATCTAATTTGAATACATGCAATTTTTTTTTTCTTGATTTTTTTTCAAAGTATCACACGTTTCAAGGATTTATTTTACCAATTTCATTTGTCTTAAGTCCAATGAAATAATGACATATTTCATAACCACAATAAATTTTTCTAGTGACACATTACTTCAAATTAACCTAGATTGGTCATGGTACCATCCATATGATTATCCATTTCCATTATTCATCATTAAAATAATCAAAGCTACTGCAGATTAATTATAATTACTGGTACTTACAATCTTCGAGATTCCTCAGTTATAAATTTGTTGAATGAAATGTTGACCTCAAGTCCTGTCACATGATTGTTCTAATATAAAACAGTTTAGCCCTGAACTAGAAATTATTTATATCAATCACTTGACAATTTTTTCAAAATAAAAACAGAAACTTGAAGGTTATATGTTACATGTAAATTTAAATAAAGATCTAAAAGTATATTGAGAAATATTGAATCACATCTGACAAATGATCATTTGAATTCTGTGCTATAGCTCAGACGGGTTTTCCACTTGTTAAACATGGGTCAAATCAAATCTAGGTTATATTTTAGAAATTTGAAGATAGTGTAATCCCCCCCTCCACCCCAATATTTGATAACAGGTCATAATAAACTATTAATGAGTACTTCTAGTTAGCAGGGACTACAATGTACATGTATACTATCTTCATAATCATATTTATGTTTTTTCTTTTTCCTCATATTTTGATCCAGTTGTTACTCAAAGTTTTGCCGATCCCTATTTATTTGTATAGAAATTATTAATATTATAAATGCATGCTAATTTAAGATCCATTATGGCCAATGACACTGTCTGAACAAAAAAATACAAATACATTATCCCATCCAGGAATGTCCGATACCATTCGATGTCCTGCTTTCTGAATATCAAACTAACAAAAGGAAATATATTTTATCATCGCCTCACTAAGGAGCCAATCCTGGTTTGCACAAATGACCTTAATATCTGGTGAATCCTCCAGTAATCAATACAGACTGTACCAACAGACTTATTGGCCAATCCAAAAACTATGCGATCCTTTTAAATCAAACCAACACATGTCAGGTATATACCTATATTTAAAATATAAATCATCAGCTGATGTATATTACATGTAGACAAGATTACATATCAAACTACATGGAACATCTGAGACTGCTGACATTTCTAATAACATCAAACTGGAAGTCAGAATTTTAATACCTGTACAAGTATGGTAGTTCAATAGTTTTATGTAAACCAAACAGTATAGTCTTTTTTGAAGAAACTAAAAGAAAAGATTGTTTGTTATACATTGCTTATTGTTCGGACTTTTACAATGAAAAATGTTTTTTATGGTGTTGACGTATTTTTCTTTTTGTGTATTTATTACATGACGATATCTAAGAATCTGGTAACATGTATAAATAGTAGTTTGTCCCATCTTGTGTTTTTTTTAAAATGATAAACTAGATGATATTTCCTTATTCTTCTTCATTCACCTACGTCTTCGGTTTGACTTTTTCTTCACCATCGAACAATTTATACTAACGTTACCATGTACATGTACGTTAATAGTTTTACTCATTTTTTTCTGATCAAGGAGTTCTATGGAAATTGGGATGGTCTTGACCATTGGTCAGTTACCTGTGACAAGTTACATGTATCTACAATCTAATTCATGACCATTTTTATCCTTTAGTCTACAATATTCAATTGATCACCAGGCTAGAACATGCCCATTTTAAGAAGACTTATAAGCTAACATATGACACAACATAATCTTAAGGTACATGTACATGTAGTTTATTTACTGTAATATCCAATCATTGTCCATTATTTTTGTAAAAAAAAAACAACAGCTGTCTTAAAACATTTGATGAAGTAACCTAGTTTGGGGATTTTGAAGAACAGATTTTTGTCTGACTAATCTAGACATTGTGATACTGATATAATTACAGTTTTGAAATAATGAGACTGTTACCATTTTTAAAAAATGACCAACTCATTAAATAGCCATACCAATAAACACAAAAAGGACAAAATTTTAATTCCTGGAGTGAAAACACACATATACAGGAACTTCCTTAAATATTAAACCTTTTAGATGGTCAGACATTGATAAAGTATTGAGCTTCGTTGATGAGTCGCATCATTGAATCATCAGTGAAAACCGCTACCCATTTTCTATTCTTCTTCTGGTTTTTCTTGGAGGCATGCTCTTCAAAAAAGTTTAAGGCTCTTTCAATTCTGCATCAATTTGGTGAACTTGATTTTTGAATGTCATACTCAGAAGAAAGTTATGACGTCATAACTGTGTCAGCTTTCATTAAAGAAAGCTTTTCGAATTCTTTTCTTACAGAGTGATAGCTATAGGTGTATAAGCTGAGAACAATAACTGAAAACGGCTGCTTTGAATGAATAAGGAAATTTGTAAAACTGCATGTTAAAACTATATATTCCCAAATTTCATCCTCAGAACAAAGTTATGACGTCATAACTGTGTCAGCCTTTACTAAAGAAAGCTTTTCGAATTCTGTCTTTACAAAGTGATAGGTGTATATGCAGAGCAGTGATGGGATTTCAAAATTTTTCTTGTCGGACATTTTACATGTCAACAAAATATTCAAATCCTGAACGTAATAAAAAGGTGAACCTCGCTATTTTTCATATTTAATTCCTGTACGGTATTCAAATATATGTCAGTAACATTCCTACAAAATTGTACTTTCAAAATAATAAACAAACCACCTACCTTTTACCATTGACTGTTTTGTGTTTATCTCGACTTGACGTGTGTGTTTTTTCTCGTTTTGTGGCTGGAGGAGCAAATTGTTGTGCGGCTTGTTGGGCAACAAGTTGAGAATTTAACCGAGGCTTTCTGAAATATATATATATATATATAATATCCATCACAAACCATAAAGATTCTATACTGAAAATGTTAAAAACATAATGTGGCATTCCTTTTTCATAAATTAACATGGATATGGTATATACTTTGAAACATAAGAGAAACTGCTTTCAACCAGTTGCAAGTGTGCTTATGTCGATCAAATCAGCAACTGAGAGCAAAACCGAATTCGGAGCGCTCATGTCAACTTGAAACTGATAGCGATTACACTTAACATGCGACGGTTAATTTATTCATCACATGATCAACAAAATGGCAAATACATGTACCTCAGAAGAAGTACAACAAAGGCATGGTCAGTCATGGTACAATTCTATTACTACAACACTGTCGACATTTGAAAGGTGGATGTCTTCATTCACTTCCATGTTGCCTATTTATCAAGTCACATGACACATGTTTCTTATCGCCTGATGTTATTTCCATGAAAATGAGTTGACCCCAGTTGTAACGGCAACTAGTTGCTACTACATGTAGCTAAAGCGAGTTGCAGAAAGTTGCTTTGAGTTGTACATGTAAGAGGCGCTCAGGTCGACCTTTCTCAGTTTCAGTCAGTTGAAGCTACATGCAGTTGCTCCCAGTTGCTCTCAGTTGTAAGGTTGACATTAGCCCCACTTAAGGGTCATAATATGAAATCATCAGTCATCATGGAATTACAATTTCATCAAATTGATTCGAAAATTTGAGAGAAAACGAAATCTGACTGTTCAAGAAAGTAATTTTGATTATGATTTTTCTTTTAAAGATGCACTCAAATATATGTGCTTACATGTAAGCATAAACAACATTTAATGAGTAACTTTGGCCATTATTTGTAAGTGATTTGACAATCGGTAATATATATTTGAGAAATAATAGGGATAGGTATATCATCAATTCAATACATGTATTAGAAAAATCAATTTTCAGACATTATTCGTAACATGCATTTGATGATTCTGAAGACTCTACCGATTCCCAACCTAGATATATATGCATTGATCGTTCATTACCAAGGGACATTGTATTACATGTACATGTATGTACTTTTACTTCATTTTATAATTTTTTCAATTCACCAGTAGAAAAAATCTCCAATGAAAAAAAGAACATGATCTAAAAAATTACTCAACAAGCGTTTATTTGTAGCTTCCGTTCCATTAAATTAGACAAATAACCCGCCCCCACATCCTCAATTATCTCCTTCAATAGAGTTCCTCACTAATGGTGCTCCTTAAGCATATCCACACAGACTGGTTTACAATCGAACAATTGAAAAAAATTTGGAAGGAGTCTTATTCTAATCCATGATTGACAAGGACAATCCGTTTTCGTTATCCATTCATAAAAGAATTTCATTCACAAATTCATGTTACCTCATAATTTTTTCCCTATTCCTTTTAGTTCAGACAAATAGTGTATTTTCTGGATTTACTAGAAAATAAAAATCTGCAGTGGGGGTGGAAATTTCAAATACATATTAAATAACATAAAAAGTATATATAATCCTTTAATCCTTCCCCCTTCAACCACAATGAAAGCTTATAAAAATATGTGCATTTAGATTAATGCTGAGTCAGTGATTATTAAAATATCTTAAATAGCTTGTGTACTGGTGAATAACAATGTAGGCAAACATTTTACAATCTGTCTAAAGGCCAACCAAAGAAAACAAGCCAACAGTGAGGCTGATGTCCCCCGCCGAAATTGCAAAATAAATAGATGACACATATTAATTAATCGCACATTTATTTTTTTCACTAAGTTTCATCACTCTCTATCAGATAGAATCAAGATTATCTTGTCCCAAACCATCGACAAATGAAATCGATTAGCTCTGCTTAGCTTCAGCTCGAAATGTTAATTATTGAACTCAGTCAAGACATTCACCTAATGAACATCTACATATACATCAAGTTTAAACATTCACCTAATAGACACCTATGCCAAGTTTGAACATTCTACCTCAATTAGAAGGAGAGTTATTGTGTTCCAAAGTTTCTACCAATCAAATTGCTTATCACTCTGCTTACCCTCAGCAAAAAATGTTCATTATCGAACTTAGTTAAGGTATTCATATAATAAATCTATACACCAAGTTTCAGTAATCTCACTTAATTAGAACTAAAGTTATCGTGTCCCAAAGCATCAACCAATCAAATTGCTTATCTCTGCTTACCCTAAGCGGAAAATGCTCATCTTCGAACTCCATCAAGGCATTGACCTAATCAACACATACACCAAGTTTGAACATTCTAGCTCAATTAGGAAGAGAGTTATCGTGCCCCAAAGTATCAACCAATCAAATTGCTTATCTCTGCTTACCCTAAGCGGAAAATGCTCATCTTCGAACTCCATCAAGGCATTGACCTAATAAACACATACACCAAGTTTGAACATTCTAGCTCAATTAAAAGTTATCGTGTCCCAAAGCATCAACCAATCAAATTGCTTATCTCTGCTTACCCTAAGCGGAAAATGCTCATCTTCGAACTCCATCAAGGCATTGACCTAATCAACACATACACCAAGTTTGAACATTCTAGCCCAATTAGGAAGAGAGTTATCGTGTCCCAAAGCATCAACCAATCAAATTGCTTATCTCTGCTTACCCTAAGCGGAAAATGCTCATCTTCGAACTCCATCAAGGCATTGACCTAATAAACACATACACCAAGTTTGAACATTCTAGCTCAATTAGGAAGAGAGTTATTGTGTCCCAAAAAGTGTGACGGACAGACAGACGGACGGACAGACGGACAGACAGACGGACAGACAGACAGACAGACAGACAGACAGACAGACAGACAGACAGACAGACAGACAGACGGACGAACCCATTTTAATAGTCCCCTGCTTTCTTCGAAAGGCGGGGGACAAAAAATAATATGTGGTATTATTAAGATAATTTATGATGTCTAATGTGTTTATAATGAGTGTTAGTGTCTACAGAGAAAGGATCTCTCTAATTACAAAGCCTAGAGTATAAAAGAATGTTCCAACTCTTTATTATGCAATTATATGTAATTTATCTTTCCAGGAAATTTTAATGAGTCTGTCATCTGAACTTAAAGGCAAGCCAAGTCATCTGAACAGTTGCATTGGGAATCTTTAGGTAAATAAATGCAAAAGGCAAATATCAAATTGTACTGTGTAATATCATTAGAGCATTTACATGTATAAGATTCCATAAATAATCATGGGCAATAACATCATAATTAATTATTAGAAATTATTGTTGTAACTTATTGCAATAATCAAAACAAAGATAACTAGAACTGTGATACAGTAATGACGAGTTTCACTGGTGTCACGTTACCCTTGAACTTACATGTATGTCACTTCCGGTACCAATGAAACCATTAAAACAGATTTCCACACAAGCATTGCACATGTGTTATAAAATGGACGCAGAATCAACCATATCCAGCCAGCACTATCAATTCCATTTATACATTTGTTACTACGTGTTAGATATGTCAAAAAAGTGATCCTGACAAAATTTATTACTAACTTATTGCTAAGCTAGCTGATGAGACTTTCTAAAGGAAAATGCGAAAAAAAATCTCAAAAAGTGACCCTGACAAAATTGGTCATTTCTCAGTAAAGGAATAAGTTAGAAGCAATCTTTTGATACATGTATCATTCTATATGTTGGATGGAATTAAATATCATAATTTTAAAGGAATATTGAATAACACTCATTTGAAGAAGATATTTGTTTTGAAGACTATAATAAAAATACAGTTTTTGTCAAAATAATAATAATAATTGATTTATATAGCACCAACAATTCAACTCAGTGAGCTGCTCTTGGGCGCTTTACATACAACTAATATAAAATTACAACATTCACAACACATTAATCCATAAAAAAAGACAATCAAAAAACTGAGAACATTATTCAGTACACACGGTAAAAGTCTGACACAACACAGCTCGAACCGTATTCAATCAGTTGTATACATGTATTTGATTAAAAAGTTCGGTTTTGAGATACTTTTTAAAACCTTTAATAGAATTTGCGCTTTTGGTTTTGTTTGACATTGAATTCCATAAATTCGGAGCACTGACTTTGAAAGATCTATCACCGGAGTTAGTTTTTGAAAAAGGCTTAATTACATGTAAGAGGTTGTCTGATTGTGATCGAAGGATTCTGCAAGGTTTATTGGTGTTGAGAAGATCTCTAAGGTATTGAGGTGAAGAATCGTCATTTAGAGCAGAATATCAGAATATTTAATAAGACAGTATTTTAAAATTGATACTTGACGGACTGGAAGAGAGAGAGAGAGAGAGATGGGGGTTTAACGTCCACTCTACACAAACTAGGTCATTTCGGGACTAACATATGGTTCAATTTTATTTCAATAATTCGCTTGAGTTTGACATTTTTTGCACCTGTCATAGAGGCATTCTTCTTGATCTATCAGATTTGTTAAAATTAATATTTGCTTGCGAAAAAACTGGTCAAAAGTGTAAATTCTGGCAAAATTATTTCACTTCCGGTAACAAAAAAATTAAGAATTTCCACCATGAAACATATGAACTTAGTTTTAAATAATTAACCTAGTACCCATAAACTAAAATTAAAAGGCAAAAAATCTTAAAAAGTGATCCTGACAAAATTAGTTATTTCTCGACAAGGGAAGATGCTAGAAGCAAATTTTTGACATCTACATGATTGTATTGATCCAATCGATATGTCCACTGAGATCAAATATCATAATGTTAAATGAATAATAAATATAACTCGCTTCTAAAAAATATTTGTTTTGAAGGCTAAAAATACAGTTTTATGATAAAATGACATAAGGCCTACTTCCGGTGATAATGAAAATGTTAAATTAGTTCTATGAAATGGTAAATGGCATAAGGCATCACATGGTGAAAAATTTATGAAAATTTTATGAAAATCAAATAATAATTTATATTAATACTACAGCATTATTTAAAAAAACGACAACTTTGGCGTTTCGGATATTTCGCAT